CTTAACATAGTGACTACAACACACCGTTGTTCTTTTGCTTGGTACTAGAATATATATCTCATTTGATCCTTTTGCTGTTTATCATTGCTATTATTGTTTCTGCTTTAGTTATGAGACTGGAACAGTTCAACTCTCATCATGTCATTCTGAGGACCTGTGTTTTGTTTGTTGAACATGTTACAATTTTGAGGTGCTCAAATGTTTGGTTGCTACGGTTGACCCCCATGTTCATGGATTGCCTGTCAAATTCAAATGTTAGGCAACTTATTAAGCCCTTTCTTTGTCGTGCACTTCTGACTGGTTTCTTGAATGGCAGCTAAAATGTCATTTCGGAGTTAGCTTTATTCAGTGATTGGTTATGTTGCTAGACTGATGAAATGTGTATGCCAACCCCTCTGCCTTTTTTTCCCTTGTTTCTGGAAGGAAGTCCCACTCTTGGCTGTTGCTTTTTTTATTGCTCAAATGAAATGATTCTAGCTCTAACCTTGGCGTTGCGCTGTTGTTCTCAGCCTCAACTCATAACAACCAAACAGACATACCAGAAACCTAATGCTGATGCTGACCGCTATGATTCTGCACCATCTTTTGCTATCTAGCTTGTCTACTGCTATCTACCTACCTTTTCTACTGGAATGGAAATGCAGGGTTCAGAATGCATCAGATGACTTTCTTTTTCCCGGTGACCTGTCGTCTATTTGCAGTATTTCTCTCTATATAGCATACGGCAGTTGCGGTCGTCATGTGCCTGCGCCTTTGGCTCTTCGCTTTCGATGCGGAGGTGCTCTCGATTTCCTTTGACAGATGTGACCTGGCTTGTTCATGTGAAAGGTACTCCCTTCCCAACCCAAGCTGTTGTGTGCTCCCTAAGAAACGTGACCCCTTTTCGTGCTCATGCAAACCGCGATGGTTTTCGCTCCTTGTTTATTCCAACCCTTTTTTTCCCCCTCAGATCGTTGGACGGTTCACGTCTTGGGTGCTCCCATCCCCACTCCACCTTCCCCTTTTCCACCAAACGTGGTTTCCTTGCTAAGAAACGAGAAATCTAATGATCGAGCGGCAGGGGAGGGTGGGTGTGTGAGTGATCGTGAAGCCATGACGCCCTTCCTTTTGCTGGCTTCGGAAACGGAAACTGAATGGGAGTGGTGGGCGATCATCAATCAAGTAAGGCATCGCGGTCGCGCGGCGCGGCAGGTTGGAGTGCGTGGCTGGACCAGGGGAGAAAATAAAAAGGACGCATCTGGTGGTCTCTCTCAAGTTCGTAGGATCTCCATTGGCGGGTTGTGCTGGGGCGTTTGTCTGATTGTCTCCTTGTTTGAAGTCAGTTTCGTGGGTGATTGTCTGATTGGAGCTGGGGCAGCATCTGACTACAACCACGGAAGGGGCATGCTGCATCCTTGCATTGTGTGTGATGGAGAGACCGGGGGCTCATGTCTTCTGCGCTCACAGCCTGAGGCCTGGGCAACGATACCGTCAAATTCGTTGGCAGCTCACTGGTACCACATGATTAGCCAGCTAAATTTAACGTGATTTGATTGAGCTGTTAATCGGACTGTAAGCAGGTAGGCAGGCAGGCCTGTCCGTCTTTTCAACGTACTACTAGTACTGTACTGTATATTCTACGGTGTACCAGCTCTTACCAAAATATAACCTCGTCTCACAAAAATAACAGGACCAACCGACGGTGCGGATCTGCAAAGCAAACACGGATTCTTCTGGTTAGGCTCCCCACCAACCTGCCGAACTCCGCTTTGGTCAAACAACGATCAATTAGCCTTCGTAGCCCGCTAAAAAACTCCTCATACACGTGGTGAGATTATCAGTCGTGGAGAGTGGAGACCCAATAGGGCAATAGGAAGCACGGATCCAAATGTGGACAGCGCCCGAAACACTCCACACACCGACGAAAGAACGGATCCCAAACGTGGACCAGCGCCCGAAACACTCCACACACCGACGAAAAGGCACACGACCTAACAAAAAAAATATTTAAATAAATATCAAGAAATAATCCCTTTGTGTCGTAAAAAATGTTGCAATAAGATTCGTGCTGATTATTTTTAAATTTAATTAGATTTGTAAAAAATATTAGCAACATTTATATCTTTAAATAAGTTTATTATGAAAATATGTTAATGATTTATTAATAAACTAATTGTGTATTGTAACTATTATTATCTTCTTATGTGCACTTGATTAAAGTTGAGATGATTGATTTCTTAGGAAACGAGGAGAGTGTTCGGCTGGTATGAATTATTTACTGTTTATGTTGAAAAATATTGTTCATATTGGAACGTTGTGAGAGAAAAACATTGCTCCCGCCGGGAAAATAAGCCGAACAAGCCGGCTTCCTCGCCAGCCGAACACAGTTGAGAATGGCACTTTTTATAGAATAGAGTGAGTATATAGGAGGACTATATGATACATGCTACTGTGTCAGAAGAAAATATCATTTTAGTTTTATCATAAACCAATCATAAATTGGCTAAATTTATATAAATAAAATGAATGTTTATAAATACTCCATCCGTTCCAAATTATAAGTCGCTTTGACTTATTTGGTATATCCATTTTGCTATGTATTTAGATATAATAATATGTCTAGATAAATAGCAAAATAGATGAATCAAAAAGTCAAAGCGGGTTATAATTTGAAATGGATGGAGTAATTCACTACTATACAAACTTTACTGGAGGCGGGCGTTTTCAGTTTTCCACGGCGGGCAAAGCCGTCCGCCGCGGCCTAGAGGCCACGGTAAATCGTGGCTTAACCGCGGCGGGCGGCCTGGTTAATCGATTTACCATGGCGGGTGGGTAGCGCGCGCCGCCATGCAGAATGTATCTTTACCACGGCGGGCACGTTAGGATGCCCGCCACGGTTAATCATTTAAAAAACAAAAAAACAGAGCCCGCCGTCGAGCCCATTCTCGAGCCCCTGGCGAGCGGATCGGCCGATGGATCCGGATCCGCCGCGTTGGGGCGGATCCGCCGTGCTCGAGGTCGCCGCCATCGGATCCTCCACGGTGGAGCCTGGCCGCCACCGGATCCGCCCGCATCATTCTTTGGATCCGGCGTGCTCGCGGTCGCCGCCGCCGGATCCTCCATGGTGGAGCGCACGCCGCCGGATCCACCCGCGCCGGGCTGGATTCGCCGTGCTCGAGGTCGCCATCGCCGGATCCTCCATGGTGGAGCGGCCGCCACCGAACCGCCCGGGTTGGGGCCGCTTCCGCCGTGCTCGAGGTCGCCGCCGTATCCTCCACGGTGGAGCAGCTGCCGTGAAATCACCCGCGTCGGGGCCGGATCCGTCGTCGCGAAGCCGAGCGTCGCCACCGGATCCACCCGCATCGGGACCGGATCCGCCGTCGTCATGGAATGCTGTCGAGGACAGACTCGGACACCGGCGAAGCGCTTGAGCTTCGCCGGGCCCGCCGCGTCGCCTCCTCGAGGGCAAGAGAGCGGGGAGCTCCGCTGGGGCCTGCGCCACCGATGTGGATCTGTGCCGCTGCGTGGGTGGGGGCTGTCCCAGCCATGAGAGAGGGGAGGCGAGTGGAGATAGGAATGGAGAGAGGGGAGAGGCGTGTGAGTGGTAAAGGCGACGATTGAGTGAGGGAGCTGAGTGTTGTGAGGCTCAAACCCTAACTCCTCTCCTTTTATATAAACCCGGTAATGAGCTTGAGTGGGCACGATGGTCCATGCCTTTTTCAAATGGCGGGCTTTTAACGTTGTTCATTGCGATAAATCGATTTTCCCGCAATGGCACCTTAAGATGCCCGTCATGAAAATAGGTATTTTACGCGTGGCGGGCATCTTAAGGTGTCCATTGCGAAAATCGATTTACCATGGCGGGCAAAAGTATCTGCCACGGTAAATAGAAAATGTCCGCCGTGGTAAATCGTGGGATTTACCGTAGTGGATACAGATAGGAGCCCGCCACGGAGTGCAAAAGTGCAATGCTGTGCAAAATCGTTTCTGTAGTAGTGATTATCATTAGATTTTATCATGAAATATATTTTTATAGAAATCTATTTAACATTAAAAGTATTAATAATCTTTTTTATAAACTTGTCATACAGAAGATTTAGGACTTTTTTTGTGTGTGTGCGGGACGGAGGTAGCAGTGTCATCAGCAAAGAAACTACGTATTAAAGCTGCTCTGTACGGCGGGGGAAGGGCGAAGGGGAAGAAGAGGGCGGGTATAAAATTTGGCGGGCTCGTGCCGCGTCTCCCCCGCCTATCGATTCCGCCGGCGAAGCGTTTACATCTTCTCCCGTTCTCCGTCCGCGATCTCGAGGAGGGGAGAGCGAGAGAGGGAGAAAGAGGAGGCGCGCGCCCATGTTTTGACCTCGCCTGCGTCGTCTCGGCAGCGATCTAGATCTGAGGTGAGCTCCCTCCCCTCCCCTGATCTCCGCGCTCCTCACTCCCTTACCCTGCATCTCCTCGCGCCTCGGTGACAGATCCAGGCGTCGTCTCTCTCACTAGGACTTGGGATTCATTTCTTCATCCGTTGGTAAGGGAGCACTAGTTTGCCTAGAGGCATGCTCGTTTTGTTCCGCAGGAGATCTTTTCTTTGTTGTGACTCTTGCGCCCTGAATACGAGTATTTGATTCTGGCATGGATGCTCCGATCCACCAGGCTTACTGCGGATTCCTTTGCTGCGTTTAGATCCACTCCATTTGAATTGACGTTGTCTCCACCATTATAATTCATGCGGTGGAGCAACATCTCTTCGTTTTTCTTTATTTTTTTATTATATATATACTGTAGCAGTTTATGTTTTCAAAAGTTTCTGGGGTTCTACTGAACCTATGTCGCATGCTAATTCCATCCTGGAGTTTTATATTTTTTATGCCGTATCCTTATATCTTGATATCTCCCCGGGAAAATGGAGACTGAAAGGGGAAAAAAGAGAGACAATCTTAAGAATGGAATTGATTTATTATTTTATACAATTGCTTGCAGGTTGTGAGGTTCTTGATTGGGCGATCACAAGAACTGTCACTGTAATGGTCGCCAAGATGTTGCCATCCCCATGGATCTCGGCGTCCGTGCTCGTTCTGCTCCTGAGCCTGCACCCGGGTGTCCATGCCTTCTACCTCCCCGGCACCTTCATGCACACCTACTCCTCTGGAGAGGCGATCTCGGCCAAGGTCAACTCGCTCACCTCCATCGAGACCGAGCTGCCCTTCAGCTACTACAGCCTGCCATACTGCAAGCCTCCGGATGGTGTCAAGAAGAGCGCTGAGAACCTTGGTGAGATCCTCATGGGTGACCAGATCGACAACTCCCCATATCGCTTCCAAGTTAATGTCAATGAGTCAGTATACCTTTGCACCACGGATCCGCTCACCAAGGAGCAGGCCGAGCTGCTCAAGAAGAGGGCGCGAGATCTGTACCAGGTCAACATGATACTGGATAATTTACCGGTCATGCGGTTCACTGAGCAGAATGGGGTGAAGATCCAGTGGACTGGGTTTCCTGTTGGGTACAACCCGACAGGGAGCAATGAGGATTATATCATAAACCACCTCAAGTTCAGAGTCTTGGTCCATCAGTACCAGGCGCAGGGTGATGTGGTGGTCACGAGTGATGATGGTGTTGCAATGGTTGAGTCTGATCGCAAGAGTGGGTTCCAGATTGTTGGGTTTGAGGTCGTGCCTTGCAGTGTAAGGCGTGATCCTGAGGCCATGTCCAAGCTCAAGATGTATGACAAGGCCGACTCTGTGAATTGCCCGTTGGAGCTTGAGAAATCTCAGGTGATCCGTGAGAATGAGCGGATTACATTTACCTATGAGGTTGAGTATGTCAAGAGCAACATCAAGTGGCCATCGAGGTGGGATGCGTATCTGAAGATGGATGGTGCCAAGGTTCACTGGTTTTCTATCATGAACTCGATGATGGTTGTCTTCTTCCTGGCTGGTATTGTGTTTGTCATATTCTTGAGGACTGTCCGTAGGGATCTGACAAGGTATGAGGAGATGGACAAGGAAGCACAAGCTCAGATGAATGAGGAGCTCTCAGGATGGAAACTTGTTGTTGGTGATGTCTTCAGAGAGCCCAGCTGTCCAAAGTTGTTGTGCGTTATGGTCGCTGATGGTATCCAGATCACTGGTATGGCAGTTGTTACAATTGTGTTTGCTGCTCTGGGATTCCTCTCACCTGCTTCCAGGGGAATGCTCCTGACCGGAATGATCATTCTCTACCTCTTCCTTGGTATCATTGCTGGATATGTTGGTGTCCGTGTTTGGAGGACTATCAAAGGAACCTCAGAAGGGTGGAAATCTGTTGCTTGGCTGACTGCCTGCTTCTTCCCTGGGATTGTGTTCATCATCCTTACTGTGCTTAACTCCATTCTGTGGGGCAAGAAGAGCACTGGAGCTCTACCCATCTCACTGTTCTTCACCCTTCTGGCCCTGTGGTTCTGCATCTCTGTGCCACTCACACTTATTGGAGGCTTGCTAGGCACACGTGCTGCAAGCATCGACTACCCTGTCCGAACCAACCAGATTCCACGAGAGATCCCTGAGCGCAAGTTCCCCTCATGGCTGCTTGTGCTCGGTGCGGGAACATTGCCTTTTGGTACTCTCTTCATTGAGCTCTTCTTCATCCTTTCCAGCATTTGGTTGGGAAGATTCTACTATGTCTTTGGCTTCCTGTTCATTGTCCTCTTCCTGCTGGTCATAGTCTGTGGTGAAGTTTCTCTGGTCCTAACCTACATGCACCTTTGCGTGGAGGACTGGAAATGGTGGTGGAAGGCCTTCTTTGCTTCTGGCTCTGTTGCATTCTATGTGTTCCTCTACTCAATTAACTACCTGGTGTTCGATCTCAGGAGCCTGAGTGGACCAGTTTCCGCAACACTCTACCTTGGCTATTCTCTGATCATGGCCCTTGCAATCATGCTCTCCACTGGTGCCATTGGTTTCCTGCTCTCCTTCTACTTCGTCCACTACCTCTTCTCGTCTGTTAAGATTGATTAGAGGTGCCCGCTGCCTCTTTCTGCAATAGAGTCATCTGATCATGGTAAGAGTTACCCCCTTAGAAATACTACACAGTAAATCAAATGAAAAAAAATGGATACATGGCAACAGCCATGGCTTTTGGTCCTGATTAATTCAATCATTTAGCATAGCACAGTTACTCAAGTTGAAACTTATTTCTTAGGAATGATTGTAAGTCCTTCAGCTATGTTTATTACCCTCTGTAATACTATTTAGTTTTGCTTGCTCTGGGCATTTGTGAGCAGCCTTTGGTGTTGGAACACTTGAGATCTATTCAATATGAAAAGGAGCTATTCATTTACAGTTTGTTACGATTCTGGGAAGGCTTTACTGTAACATGGTTGCCACATGAGTTGTGAATTGTGATGCTTGCTGTTCGTTAATAGTAGCACCAGTACTACTGATTTTTTTTTTATCAAGTGAAGTTCTGCTGACTACTGAGTCAATTGATAGTTGATATACATGCTACTGAAATAGTGAAATTTCACATGACTCTGATGCTAAATGTTGAATTGTGGAGTTGTAGGTAGCTGCTACAGTTTTCTGATGCTCGTGACGAATTGCCGGTTCTAACGCACAACTTCTAAAGTGTCTATTGCTCAAATGCGCATCAGCGCATGCCATAGTTACAGACTTTTTACTGTTGTTTGATAAATACTATTGACAGTTGTAGACCTTCATATATTTTTTAAACTAGGACTAGGACTGGCTTTTTGAAGAACCATAACATTATTAGTGTCCATCGCACCAATCAATAGATGGACGCAACTCTATTCTTTATTCTTTACGCCAATGCTAAGTGGATATACCAGAGGCAAAGCAACTTTGATATGTATTACTCGTTTATGAAACATCATAACACACGCTGCCGAAGGCAGCAATGGCGGACGGACGAGGACTCAACTTATACGCTGCATCGATTCAAAGTTAGGCAAGCCCGCCAGTACAATCTGGTTTCTGAGACAAATAGCGGCCAAACCTTCAGAGACACTTGTACATTCTCGGAAAGTCCTCCAGAGCTCCTTTAACTATTATTTCCTCAAGAGCTCCTTTATGGTCCGATTTACTTAAACTAGAAAACCGAATCTTTTAGCTCCTCGAAACAAAAAAACCGATTGCTTTTCCTCCTTGTATAGTTTTCAAAGTAGTTTAGTTTGACGTGGGGTCACGTCAGTCATTCTACGTGTGCCATATTTTTATCTCAAAGGGAAAGAAATTGTATCAATATAAGGTAGCACAATTACATCCATGTTCACGGGTGCCTGTTCGCTTCCCTGAAAAGCTGATTGAAAAGTACCGTTCACTGATTTGTTGTGAGAGAAAAACACTGTACCATGACTGATAAGCCAAGCTGATAAGTTTAAACGAACAAAAATACGCTAGAGTATATCCAGAGCCCTCTAATAGCAATCTTCACCTCTAAACCTTGTTTATGACTATCTAATTCTAACCCGTTGGAACTCAATAACACCAACGATGGCCAAAGTAGCGCAACCTTCTAATCATCCTTAACGATAGACACTAAAATTGAAAACGTAGCATGATCAACCGCCAACGCCACGGGAACTTCTTAGGACGCATCCACGTAACATCGGCCACCTCGCCGTCAAAGATGATAAGGGACAAACAATCTGGCGCCGCTAGTACTAGCAATGCTAGATTGGAAACCCAAATTCAAACCCGGTCGTCGCTTGAACTTGATTGTCCTCCTAATTGCGCCCCTGCAAAAACCGAAGAAGCATAAAAAAACCACCGGATTGGATGCCAAGAGCAGCACCCACACGGGAGATCTCTTCAATAAATAAGATTCGGCGAGCAATCGATGAAGACGTTGCAAAAACAGAAGAAACATGAAGACCACCGGATTGAGATCGCGTTTGATTTGTGCTCTTAACTCACCACAACTGAAGTGCGGCTCGCCAAAGGTGCGGCGGCAAAATTGCTCGCCACACATTTGGCGCAAGAAACTGCAACTGAAGCGGAAATTGCGACGAGCCAAACATGTGGCAACATGCGGCCGCGAAGCAAACGCTCACGAAAATAGGGCGCGGAAGGTGCGGGGTGCGGGTGCGGTATGCGGCTGCCAACAGAACGGACCCTGAATGCCTAGAGCGACACCCGCAGGAAAGATCCTGTCGTTAAATAAGATCTGGCGAGCAATCGACGCCGGCCCACTCCGGTAGTCCGCCTATGGCGCGAAGCGCCGCCGCCCGGCTGCTCTCTTTCTCCCCTCTCCTTCTCGGCTCCAGCCACTGCCACTTGCGCCTTCGCCACCCTCCCCTCCTCCTACTCCCTACATCCCGTTCTAAGACCACCTCCCGCAAGCCTCCCCGCTCACAGCCTCGTAGAAAGGTGGCGCCTGCGCCCGCCGGCAGCGGTCGCCCAGAGCCACCAGGAGCGCGCGCCTCTCTTTTCCAGGAAATCTCCGAACTCGTTGCCTCAGTGGCCAATGTCGAAGCGTTAGGACCCCGAAGGAATGGCGGCGCGCCTTGTGATGACCTCGGAGCTGCTGCTGTGGGGTGCACCGAAGGTGCTCGAGGAATTGCTTCAGAGAGAGCGGCATTGGCTTCTACCTCCATTGCTGGCAGCATTTCGGACCGGGTTGTTCTTGGTGACTCTGCAGATGATGGGAGTCGTCAATCTTGTGGCACTATCGCCAATGCTGCAGAAGCATTCTGCCGAGAGGCTGGAGACACTGGCATGGCAGTAGATTCTGATGATGATAATATCAGCGCAATGGTGCACAGGATTACAGCAGTCCTCCGGTCGGAGGCACCTGGGCCGTCGGTGGAGCGGAAGCTTGAGAGACTGGGCGCTAATTACACTCCGAACCTTGTTAACATGGTGCTGAAGAGGTGCTTCAAGGTCAGGCAACCAGGATTCTGGTTCTTCCACTGGGCAAAGCGACTCCCAGATTTCCACCACACGACGGAGACGTACAACACGATGCTGTACATCGCGGGCGAAGCGAGGAGCTTTGGTATCATGGAGGAGCTCGTGGGCGAGATGGATCGGGAGATGTGCTCCAAGGACATGAAGACATGGACGATTTTATTATCCAGTTATGGGAAGGCGAGGCAGATCAGCAAGATGCTGTCAACCTTTGAGGCGATGAGGAAATCGGAATCCATCTGGATAGACAGTAAAGTCTATAGGATAGTTCTTCACGCTTTGTGCAATGCTGATAAGCCTGAGCTTGCTCTTGAATTCTACAAGGATATGCCCAGCAATGTGGAGGTCGGGACTGACATTCTTCGACTACTAATGTGTTGTCTTGCAACACAGGATAATACAGCTGAAGGTGTCTATCTTATCAGAGATGATATGATTGAGGGCATGAAACATCCAGAGGAGTACTGCTACACGGAGGCTCTTCGAAGCTTTTGCATAGCAGGAAAGCTTGGTGAGGCATGGAAAGTCTTTCAGAAGATGAATAATAAATTGATGGCTAACTCATCTGCACTTGAGAATCTCCTGAGAGGGCTCTGCAGAGCAGGGAGAATGGATGAAGCTTTGCAGGTCACAGAATACATGAAGAGGACATCAGGTCTAAACAGTACAACTTTTTCGTTCCTCATCAATGGCTACCTTAGGAAACGGGACCATATCAAGGCACTTGACTTGCTGCGGGAGATGAGAGAATATGGATGTGTTCCACTTGCGTCATCTTATACCCAGGTCATGCAACACCTATTTGCAATAGATCAGTGTGAAGAAGCATGTGGACTGTTTGAAGATATGCTAAAAAACAGTGTTGAACCAGATATTGTTACGTTCACAGCACTGATTTGTGGGCATGTTCGCAGCGGACATATATCCAAAGCATGGGATGTCTTCAGGAATATCAATAAGAATGGTCCGAAACCCACATTGAAAGCATATACAGTGTTCATGCGAGAGCTCTGCAAGGTGTCCAGGCACCTTGAGGCCGTAGCGCTTCTGAAGGAAATGCTGGAATATGATGTCAGGCCTTCTGAGACAACTTTCCGCTGGTTAATTTCTGCTTTACGCGACAAATCCTATTTGGAAGAGGCAAGTTATGTTGAGAGAATGCGGGCATCTTTTAATTTGCGAAACCCTAGAGATGGTTTGCAATTCGAACAGTTAGATGGCATTGACAATGTTGATAAGTTTCAAAAAATGCGCAAGTCTAATCCCCAAGATAAAGAACTGGCATTGGAGTTCACTGGCTCTCCTTCAGATCAAAATGGTAAGGTCTCCAGTTTCACGCTTTCTGATGATACACATCAGAAAGAACAACAGGACTACAGTGATGGAGATGTCGAAGAAATATGTCGGATTCTGTCTTCTTCTGATGATTGGGGCTCAACTCAACAGGCACTGGAGATGAGATCAGTCCATTTTAGTCCTAATCTTGTTGATGCCATTTTGAAGCGTTGTAAAAGGAATAGTCGTGCTGCTTTGCAATTTTTCTCATGGGTTGGGAGACGACCTTACTACATTCCTACTACAAAAACATACAATACTGCTATGAAACTTGCGGGTTCTGCAAAAGATTTTAAGCACATGTGGTATCTGTACAGAGAAATGTTAAGGACCGGATGCTCCCCAACTGTGGATACATGGAATGTCATGGTCTGTCAGTATGGCAATGCTGATCTGTCTGAAAAGGCCTTGAAGACATTCTGTGACATGAAGGAGTGTGGGTTTCTGCCTGATAAAACTACTTACAATCACCTGATAATGTACCTCACCTGCAGTAAAGGGCGGAAAATAGATGTGGCAGTCACAATCTTCCAAGAAATGTGTCATGCAGGCCATATACCTGATAATAGGATACTTTTCATGTATCTTTTGGCTCTATGCGAGTGTAGGAAAATAGCAGATGCAACAAGCTCAGTAGTATCCTTATGTGAACGAGGATTTTCTGTGCAGGTTGGCTACTCCATATTCCTTAGATCATTGTGCAGGGCTGATAGAATGGAGGAAGCTCTCCATTTGTTCGATTGTATTGAGAAACATGGTTGCTCCAGGGACCAGTACATGTACGGGAGTCTCATCCATGTTTTGCTAAGGAGGGACAAATTTGAAGATGCTGTTGCCAAGCTTACAGAAATGAAGAACGAAGGGATACTTCAAAGCGCACATATATATACCTCCTTCATTGTTTATTACTTTCAGAAGAGAGATGTTGTCAAGGCATTGGATGTGCTCAGGGAGATGAAAGAGAATGGATGTGATCCTACAGTTGTCACATATTCTGCTTTGATCCGTGGCTACATGGCCATGGGTATGGTTTCAGAGGCTTGGGATGTTTTCCAACAAATGAAGCTGAAAGGACCTGCACCAGACTTTGGAACCTACTCCATGTTCATGTCATGCCTATGCAAAGCAGGTAGATCAGAGGATGGGTTGCATCTTATCCATGACATGTCGGATTATGGTTTCATTCCCAGCACAGTAAACTTCATGACTGTTGTCCATGGTCTAAATGTGGAGGGCAAACATGAGCTTGCTGAGTCTGTTCTACGGTCAAAATGGCACTTGCGGAAGCAAAGAACCATCTCATATTAGTTTTTGCTTCTCTCATGCTCTCAAAATGTTTGATGGTGTTTACAACTTGGACTGCAAGATTCAGTGTTCATTGTATTTTCTTGGAACAAGCATATGGTAGGAGCATGAAGTAAAATGAATCATGGACACTTTTGCTACAAAAAAACACCCTTCATTTTGTCAACGGTGGGCAGAAATCTGACGCATCAGCATGGTAAACTAGGACCAGAGATGGAGAAAGGTACAGTAAAAATCGTTGTGAGGACTGACTTGATGTGGCATGCCTTACTGCTTAGTCAGAGACAGGCGAATCCCAGTGAGTTTACTCAGGACAAAGGTATCACAAGCCCAATCAAGGGACCAAAACGCCAGAAGCAACACACCCCGGTATTCTGCTGCTTCTACATTAAGCATTTTATTGGTATTATGCATGAACAAAAAAATCAATGCTTGTTTGAAAATATCAAACTTTAGGTGCTTTTAGTGATTCCAAACCACAAAAATTAATGCCCCCTGTGCCAACTGAAATTGTACTATAATCTTGCAAGATTTTGAGTTCTGATTAGATCCAGTTGATTCTGTTCTGGTGTCCATTTCACTCTATCGCATTTTAGGATTGGTGTTCATATTCTTATGATATGATCATAAATCATCTTGAAATTCTGTCAATTGATAGTTGGGCAGTCTCAATTTAGGTAGGCTGCCATGATAGTGATTGGTTCGGTTACCCTGTTTAACTGACAATGTAATCAGAAGAAAAAGAAGAAAAGAACTATCCAACAATTTGTTAAAAACTGTTAGTGATGATTGTAGCCACTGTAACTGGAACTGAATGATTGTTAGAACCTGTTAGTTCAATCATCTAGTTGCCTCCGGGTGTACAGTAAAAATACTTGGTTACAGTTGCACCTGGGTCTTTCATATTTTAATGTGTTTATGCTACTAATTTTTTTAGTGATAAGTGCAATTAATTTGTGAAGACTGGGCATCTCTTATTTTGCAGAATTTCCATGTGTTGACATTAGAATTTAGAAACAAGCAATGTCATTTAATACTCACTAATTGGGGATGGATCATGTAACTTCTTAAGCTCTTGATCAAACAAACTACAGAAAGGAAAGCTATAATTGTTGTTGGCTCAGATAGTCCGATTGAGATTTCCTATGGACTGACTAAATACAAATATAGATAGCAGTAAACCTCCTTTTTCCAGTCATATGTAGCAGTTTATCCACGTCTTAAGTTCTATCCTGAGCAGACAGCTAACACTCTGCATGGGATTGAGAATAAGAACTATTTTTTTTTATGTTGTTGCTTTTAAACATTTAAGCTTCATTTAAACCTGACCTAATTTTATGTCACATGCGGATACTGTTAGATGTTTAGCCTCAATGCCAGGTCTAGGAATTCTTTCCGCCCCACACGACAGGTAAGCGAAAAAGAATATAGGCTCCTTGTTAACTTATGCTCACCTTGTGCATCAGAATGTTTCCTTGGGTTTGCTGAAAATATTTTTTGACCCAACCACCAGTCCTTTGCCCTTTGTTCTTCATCTTTCAATTTGATGCATCATCAATGCAGTCACTCTAATTCTTCACTGGTTGCTATTTGTTCACACATGGTATTTTTGTTTGTCACAGCGCTATCAAGTTATGTGCCAGTCAGCCCCTGCTGGACATGATTGGGCATTCTTCTCTTGTATATTCCATGGATGCACACTCTTCAGGTCTAATTGCTAGTGGCAGTGAGAGGATTTTTTTTAGATAACGTAGTGGCAGTGAGGATTGCTCTTTGAAGATAGGGAAAGGTGATATATTTTGTATTCTAAATACATTGGTGTTTCTCATGTTGAATTTGTACCTATATTCTCTGAGCAACTCGTGAAATCTGGCTAAATTAGGGTACGCCCCATTCTACAAACTGTCTTGTCTAAACAAATGTAAAGTTGTCGCTTGGGAAGTTTCGGGAAGAAATTGGAATGGAATAATATCGATTCATACAGAGGAAAAAGTTCTCTATTGATGTAAACGCTGTACCTAGAGGATAGGGATAGAGGAAGAGGGAAAAATCGAAATGAAATAAATAAAGAATAAAGCCAAAAAAATAAGTCGAAGATAGAAGAGCCCAGGCGAGCAACCCCTGCTATATGTATGTATCCAGGACTATGATGTATCCAGCTCAACTGAATGTGTAAACACTTCCTCTCTTTGCTTCTGTCCAGTATGCTGAAAATGAAACTATCTACTTCGCTGCTGAACTTGTGCAGTAGAGAAGGAAAACTTTTATCAGTAAAAACCTAACGTTTGTAGTACAGAATGTTCTTGCTGTACTCGGTTCTCTGATTTTTTGAGTAAAACAATGCAGATGATGTCTCCGTTCAAAGCATTGAACACCCGGAATGTATATGGGATGTTGTCAGCAAACCATAATGAAGTGGCTACATGAAGTAGTGGACACCACCAAGAGCAACACGCTCATGAACAAAGTGGACATCACCAAGAGCAACAGGCTCATGAACAAAGTGGAGGGTTTTTTTTTTTTTTTTTTTTTTTTTACAACAACAAAGTCCAGGTTGAATGAGGTTGGAAGACATATAATAGACGGTGCTGCAATACACCAGAGAAGCTCGACGCAAGGACAGATGTAGCTTGAGCAAGAGCTGGCGTAGCGAGGTAGCCTCAGCAATAGCATTTGCAACAATATGATACTCAGCATCTACACTGGACCGAGATACACTCTGGGAATTGAAGACCAAGAAATGAGGTTATCACCGAGGAACACGGCATTGTCCGTTGTGGAACTGTGGACTTGCGTGTGGACATATCGTATGTGCTTCAAAGCAGTACGATGTGGCTCTCGGGGATCATGCACACGAAGACAGACTTGCTGAATGGTGTAGACGATATCCGGTTGAGACGTTGAGTGTCGGTGAGGTACTGCATGACATCAACTAGACTGATAGTCAGTTGGGTCCGAAACAGGAGCACCGGCTGTAGCGCATAGCTTCTGAAGTTCTGATAGAATGAACAGGTGTAGAGCACGGCTTGCAATCTATCATGCTAGCGCGATCCATAATCTCAAGCATATAATAGTGCGACGAAGCACCAGTTGCGGGTACTTACAGAGCTGCGAGGCTTTCTAGATTCAAGTACTTTAGTATCCCCTGAGGAAGTTTAGTATCAGTTCTTGATTGATTGGCATTCTTCAGCTTAAAAATTCAGCTCATGTAACATTTTTCAGACCATCTGTAGGGACTGATATACACTTACCATATCACAGTGGTTCAGTCTTACTTCTGTTTGGACAAGGTTTCTCAAATATCAATTCATCATTGTAAAAAAAAAAGCTCATACATTTCTGTACAGTTGCCAGTTTCTATACGCATGTTTGGTTGTAGTCGAACCGTACTGTCGAAAATTTCATTCTATATTGGACTGCAGATCAACGATGTTCAACTGTTTTGTATGTCGAATTCAAGAATACATCTGCTGACTGTTACTCACTTCCTTTTGAAACGCAAAAATGGCCTAAGCCTAACTAGCAAAGGGTTGTGCCAGAATTAATCTCCCTAGATTCTCCATAGCATATTAGCATAGCACCAAATCTGCAAAACCTGAGCTGATGACCTGACTGACCAATGTGAGGCCGTGAATCGGTTGTACGTACCAGCTAATGAATCAAGAAGCGATGCTTAGATGTTAACTGCAAAGCAGGAATTGCCTTGTTAAGGGGATCATGAATTTTTTTTTCTCGAAAGAGTGGCAAAAGCTTTGCCGTAAGTTTTATTAGAAGAAGAAAATAAAAACAAGAGTCGGCCCAGATTTTCCGAAAGGATCATGCAATTGCATTGGTGGAATTGCTACAAACTCGCTGATCTAGTATTATCCTGTTACCTGGCTTCAGTTTTACTTTAAAGTAAATTGTGTTATATTCTGGCATAGCTGAAGCCATGTGAATGCTGAGTTCATCAAAGTGTAAATGCTGAGTTCGACAGTTGGTTATGAGTTTATGCTTATTTTTCACTATTCAGATCGTGCTAGATTGTCTCATCTTCAGCCTGTTCGCTTGCTCGTATACGATCGTGGATTATAAGCCGAGACAGTATTTTTCTCTCACACCAAGCCCGACTCTGCTGTTGTTATTTTTCACTTTTCACATTGTGCTAGATTGTCTCGTTTTGACTCTGCTGCTGTTGGGTTTTGGCAAAGCTACTACATACAAAAAGTAAAAATGCTGTTGGGTTCTGAAAGAGCTACTAAAAAAAAAAAGCAAACATTCCACTACTACATACAAAAAGTAAAAATGCTGTTGGGTTCTGGAAGAGCTACTAAAAAATAAAACAATAACATTCCATTGCCGGGATTTGAACCCGGGTCGCCTGGGTGAAAGCCAGGTATCCTAACCGGACTAGACGACAATGGATTTGATGTGCAATCTGTACACATAAGGATTTGAAATATATTGTTCATTACTGTTGTGTCGTGCCTATCAGGCGCTCCAACATCTCCACTGGCAGCACTCCACTCTTCACCTCTCGGCAAATTTTTTTTTATTTTGAGATGGTCCTCTGGCTAAATTTGGCATGGCAAGGCTCTGGTACATCATTTCAACGACCAATATTTTCTTGAGAGAAAAAAAATGAATGGGAGAACAAAACACATCGCTTTATTTCGTGTCCCGCAAACCTCCCCTCCCTTTTATACGGAAGATCATGTCAACATTTGAGGACGTTCCAAAATTCTAAATTTTAAACTTCAAAATATGAGAATTTAAAATAAACTTTTAGGACTCTAAGTTACTTCAAATCAAAACTTGTCAATACAAAGTTGTATATATTGTAGATCTCTATAATTTTGATATAAAGTTTATCTATATTCAACTTTATATGCAAGATTTATGATTTTTTTGAGACAACGTTGTAAAGAGGTGAACTTGTTAAGAGACTCATATCTGAAATTGATTTATAGAGACTGTTGATTTTGGAATGTCTCTGTAAATGGATTGTCCGCCTCTAAAATTCACTAGGTATTTTTAGACATACATTTTTAACCATATATTTTATACATTTTTTCACTAGGTACCTCTAAAGGGACATGCTAAAGCTTCTTTTCAAACGACGGTTGTAGCATATATTTTATACTAAAATTGTAACTTTAGTTCGTTGCAATTTATATAGAATAATCTGTAATTTTTTTTCCGAGAATAAAAAAATCTGTTAGACAAAACCACAAACCCGATAACCTATCTGTGTTGGTACAAAGACAATTAACAATTAACAATTATTTTTATAGTCAGACAAGGGCAAAAAATTGATATGTTAAAAATTTATTTGTACTAGTTGGTTGTACATCATGAGTGTTGTTTGAAATCATATGGCATCTGGAAATATAAGAGAAATGGTAAATAAAAGGAGTTGTCAGTTAAAATCGTTCTTATATTAGTGCACAGTATGGCTGGGATGACCCCACGAAAATGGAGTACTTTTTTCCCCCCCAACCGGCTGTCGTGAGGAGAAAGGTCCGATTGCGATCTGCAGGCGTCGCCTCTAGACGGGGGTGGAAGGTGGATGATGCTAACGAGCAGGGCACACTACTGAAGATCGGGATGGACACAGACTAAAAAAAGGCAACGCGAACTGTTTTCTGTGAGCGGACGACACACGCAAAAGCCAGATGACTGAAATCCTGTTCTCCCAAGAGATAAGAAGATACTTACCGCAAAAGACATACGACGAACAATTGAATATTCAATGTTTTTTTTATCTGTTCGCTTTGCTTATACTACGTCTACGTGTAGTTGTGTACCATTCAAACATTACTACCGCACTGTAGTTCGTTGATTGTGTTCGGTATTCTTGACTACGTACAAAGGGATTGCTGAAAATTTGTACCTGAGGCATCTGCTTGTTTCTATTATTCTAGTAGCTCGCCTGGCGTGCGTGGTGGTAACTGCTGACGACTCTCAGATCGACATGCACTTCCACCACCGCCCCCACCAGCACCCGCACCCCTGGGCCCTGAGGCCCTCCCTGACGTATGTATCAACCAACCCGGATTGAACAGGCAGGGAGAACGATGGGCTTTTACACATGTGTGCCTCCAAACGAGCGATGATTTCGTAGCAGGAAAACTTTCTTTATATTCGGGCACATTGTGTTATCGTGTAGCTTTCGCTACCTTAATCCCTCGGACAACAACATAGCGTGCAGAGAAGAAGCAGATAGGGGAGCCCGTAAAGCAGCAACCTAAGAAGTGGCGGCGATGGGGTCAGGTGGCGGCGACGGCGACGGCGACGGCGACCGGCAAGCGCAGCCGCTCCTCGGCAAGCTCTCGGAGTCATCGTACAGCTTGTCCGACGAGCACCTGGTCAACAGAACCGGTGAGTGATCATCACGCGCCAAGATCATACCATGCCTGCCCCTCCGTGCATGCTTGTGATGTGGTTCATAGCTCGCTAGCTCATCAGCAGCTTGCCGTTGTTTGTTCTGCATGCACATGCGTGGGCGGCGGCGCGCGCAGGCACGATATGGACGGCGATGGCGCACATCATCACGGCGGTGATCGGGTCCGGCGTGCTGTCTCTGGCGTGGAGCGTGGCGCAGCTGGGCTGGGTGGGCGGGCCGGCGGCCATGGTGTTCTTCGCCGGCGTCACCGCGGTGCAGTCAACCCTGATCGCCGACTGCTACATTTCCCACGACCCGGAGCGAGGCGTCGTCAGGAACCGCTCCTACGTCGACGCCGTGCGCCTCTACCTAGGTACGTACGGTCAGCCATCGATCGTCGATTTGCCCTTTTTTTCTCGACGGAACTGTTGACTGGTTTGGTAATGTTCGTCGGTCGATAAACTATGATTTATAAGTCAAATATTTATAAGTCATGGTTTATCAGCCAACAAACAATACGTGCCATAATTTATCAGCTAACGAACAATATTTTTCTCTCACACTAAATCAATCAATAATACTTTTAGCCATAGCTTATAAGCCAAACAAATCCAAACCGACTGGGTCCGATCCTGGATCGATCGAGTGTATGAATCGATCAACCATTCCAATTAATAGCCTGCACCTTGAGTGCGTGACAGAACCAGTCAGCCAGCCTGTTGCTATTATTATGCATCCATCCATCCATAAAATCATAAATACGAAAGCGTTTTGCAGGACCATAGGTCGCTATATATGCTAGTCCTTGACTCCATGTAGGAGTCTATAATAAAAACAAATATTGAGCCCGTGTTTAGTCGGCGAAAAATTGAAAATTTGATTACTATAATATTTTTGTTTTTATTTAACAATTAGTGTTCAATCATGAACTAATTAGGCTCAAAACGTTCGTCTCGCAATTTCCAACCAAACTGTGCAATTAGTTTTTTTTTCGTCTACATTTAATGCTCCATACACGTATCACAAAATTCGATGTGATAAGTACTGTAGCACTTTTTAAAAAACTTTTCGCGAACTAAACAAGGCTGACTGAAAATTGCGTACTGATTGCATTAGCATGCATGTTACCGTGAAGCAATCAAGCGTGGGTCACAAGTTTGAAAATAAAACGGTTAGATATTACTATGTCAGGATCCGTTGCTTTCAGTGTGTGTATATATTAGGAGTATATATATTACTAGTTGCAAAGAAAGAAGTTGCTAAAAGAAATTGTGCTGGTGCGAGTACGACTGATGCGACTGACAGGCAATCGTTGGCTGCCATGTGTGCAGGCGAGAAGAGCCATTTGTTCTGCGGTTTCTTCCTCAACTTCAGCTTGTTTGGCACCGGTGTGGTGTACACGCTCACTTCCGCCACTAGTATGAGGTACAGTCCGCTAAGTATACTTGCATATCAACTTCACCTCATTGTTGCTTGCTTGCGTGGCAATCAGCCAGCCACGAGTTTGTTACCTGTCCTGTGGTAGACTGGTGCTAGCAGTTGTCACTTGGTTGGTTGTTGCATTCGCGTAGGACCAAGGGTTAATGATATGATTTGATTGGAAAGAAAGGGCTGTGAAGGCGATAGACAGTGATGCATGGTATGGCCGCTATACTGAACTCTCTAGTGTAATCCCATGATCATCACGGCTTGGCTACACTGTTTCACTGCACCGGTAACTAGTGGTGGGCAAATTAAGGCCGTTTCTTTTATAATTCGTCTTTTTTAACTTGTTTTTTCAGTCAGAATAGTATTTTTCTCTCATAACAAATTAGCCAGAACAATATTTCGACTTGTTTTTTTCAGCGAAACGATATGTGGCCTAAAGTAGTGAAAAGCTAATGATGCAAAACTGGGGGAAAAGGGTTTGTTGGATAGACCGTACCAATAATGCAAAAAGCTAAATGAGGTCACACTCCTGTAAATGTACCTTCCGTGTGCGGTGTGCATACAACTTCTTGTGGACTTGGAGAATATTTGTTTTTTTTTCTTGTTTCTCTTCTACGTTCTCTGATAACAAAATATTTCTTTTCTGCTAGGTATATCAATTTTGTCCTTTTCGATACACGTCAGCAAATTTTATATGCCATTATGCTTTCCTACTTTTATCAAGGCCAGGCTAACTAGAGAGGATTGTGGCTCCGTTTGGCTTACCCCATATCCGGTTTGTTCGGCTTCTTTTTTTAGCCGGAACAACGTTTTTCTCTCACAACATTTCAGTCAGAACAGTGTTTTTCAGCCAAGATTCAGCAAGCCGAACGGGGCCTGTCAGATTAGGAGATATACTAATACTAGAATACCTTGTGGGCGCACGCATTCCATGGTTAGCTACCACCATGGACTATGCCGCAGTGGATGTGGAAGTGGAACCCATGAGTCGAGTTCCCCGACAAAGCTCGCCAGTCGCTGTCGCCGCTAGAAGGCACAAAGCAACGTCCGCATCCAGCAGTCCCGGTGCTGCCGAAAAGATTAGCTTCGTTAACCAATGGAAAAAGTCCACTTTTCCTCTCTCATCTTTTACGAAAGTCCGATTTTCTTCCCTCAACTCGAAAACCAGACAAACACCCTCCCTCATCTATATGATAAGAAATTGTACCTCTAAAATCGTAGATCTAGGGATAATCTAGACTTAGATGAGAGAGCTGTTCCTGTACCTCGCCCTAGCGCAGTTGCGTCCATGGCGCCGCAGCGATGTGGACGCCGGTGTCGTGGCAGCGTAGACGCGGTGGAGTCCAGAGGGCGGGGGGCTCCCGGCGGCGCTTCCCGTCACTTGTAGCGCTGCCCACGATCGGAGGGGATTCTAGGGTTCTTCGGTAGGGTCCAGTGACGACGTCGAACCTCGTGTCTAGCGCCCCGGCCCCCACCTCTGTCTTATACCGCTGTGTGACAGGGGCCCACCGACCAGTGATCTGTTGTGTGTCCCTGATCAGGACACGGTCAAGGGGTCCGACTCAGTCGTTGGACTAAGTCGGATGAGATCAATCCTAACATTCTCTCCCTTGATCTCACCTTTTGACTTAAACTTAACTTACTTACTTTATCTTGTTCCCATTCCATTACAGATCAGTGCATAGAGCGTGCCTCATCGTCACGGTCAATTGCCATTAGATTTAACAGGTATAATGCACCTCTCTGTTTTGAAACAGATACTCAACTAGGCCCTTAGTATCCAGAAATCATAGGCTTTCCCATAAACCCATATCGACTGTGTGTTCTCTGAACGCACTGGGTAGTTAGCCTTTGGTAAGCGGATCCGCAAGTACTTACTCGGTACTTATGTGCTCAATGCCTTCAAAATAATTCTGGATTTTCTCCTTTACAACATATAACTTAGTGTCAATGTGTTTGGCAGCACACTTGACCTGTTGTCTTAGGAGTTAACTGACTTTAAATGGTTATTACTGTTGTCTACCATTGTTAAATACGGGTACAAATTCCCTTAACCTCTTTTTGCCTGTTCCTTAAGCCTCATGTCAAGCTATACTATGGTATGCATCATTGATGACACCACAACTGTTTCTTTGGAGCTTTTCCAAAATAATACTCCAACTGCGAGTGTTAGCAACTGCTGTGGATTTCACTACACATCTCGCCAAAACTTAATATTTTGTACCTCTAAAATCGTAGATTAGGGGATAATCTAGACTTAGATGAGAGAGCTATTCATATACCTCGCCCTAGCGCAGTTGCGTCCATGGCGTCGCAGCGATGTGGATGCCGGTGTTGTGGTAGCGTAGACGCGGTGGAGTCCAGAGGACGGGGGCTGCCGGTGGCACTTCTCATCACTTGCAGCGCTACCCACGATCGGAGGGGATTCTAGGGTTCTCCGATAGGGTCCAGTGATGGCGTCGAACCTCATGTCTAGCGCCTCGGCCCCCACCTCTCTCTTATAGCGCTGTGTGACAGGGGCCCACCGACCAGTAATCAGTTGTGTGTCCCTAATCAGGACACGGTCAAGGGGTCTGACTCAATCGTTGGACTGAGTCAGATGAGATCAATCCTAACACTATTGAATCCGTGCACAAAACCCCCATAGCAGGTTTGGGCTCTGGTTTTTGCACAGTTGGCGCCACGTCGGATTTGGGCCCACACTGACTCAGCCCAACGCTATTATTGAAGAGAGCTAGCCATCCCGTTCATCTCGTCTCCTATGGTCGTACCCCGCGCCGCCGCTCACGCTCGCACCAGCGCTCGTCCTCGGCTCCGACGCATTCTCGCCGCCGTCTTGCCGCGTCGCCCTAGTCTCTTCGTTGCTTCCCCTCCAAATCCCTATGCCCCCTAGCACATCGCGTATTCTCTTGCCGTAGCCAGAATCCGCAATGAAGCCGCCGCTAGGAGAAGTGGCCTGCCGCTAATCTGGTGTCCATACTGCGGCATGGGGAGGATTTTGGAGCTGATGTCAAAATCAGATGAGCACCCAATGGAAAGGTTCTTCAAATGTCTGAGGAAGTACAAAAAGGTTAGCTTTCCTTATTGAAATTTCTGGTGGTAATTCAAAGTTAGGGTTCGTACAGTGCGGACTGAATTTTTCTTTTTCTTTTTGACGTTTCAGTTTCCTCTTTGTGAGTCTACATGTTCAAAGAAGAATACGCCAACTTTCTTGTTAATTATGGGATGCTTCAAGAATCTGAGATGTGTCATTACCGTCCATTGGAGATGACAGGGAGTGTGTCGGGGATTGTGCAATCTGAGATGTATGAACAGGTTAAATCACTGAAGAAACACCCATCTAACCCAACAACCTTCATGCAACCAACTTTGAACCCTTCTTTGCAAGCATGCAGACATATGTACATTCTTCTAAAAATAGGAGGCTCTACATTATCTTCCTTGTGAACAATAACAATGCTTTCTAGGTTGCTTCTGAGAAGCTCCATCTGGTAGTCATACAGCCTAGAGTACTGCCCTTTAGTTGCATCTAAAGCTTTCTTCATCACTAGTGCCTTTGCTCTCTTTAGCTTGGGCATAGAAACATGGGCAAACATTTCTTCTTGAACTATCTGCAACATATGCCCAAGTTTCTAGCATGGGTTGGCAAAAATAAACTTCTCATATTTTCTAGCAATTACAGTTGTGGTGACTAGTTTGTTGTCTCTTTTAGGTGGACACATGTGATTATTGGTAAATATAGATATTTGCCAACTATCAGACCTAGAAGTATTTGACAATAGACATACCCATGGGCAACCTTTCCAGTCACATATGGCCCTCACCCTCTTTGGATCATCCTTATCAAACTGAATAACCTTTCTCTCATCCAAGCCATGTTTAATTACAGCCTTTTTGAATTGCTTCTTAGAACTAAACTTCATTCCCAACTTAAACTTGATAACAGGATTCTTCTTGTTAAATCTTGGATACATGCTACCTTGCCCTACACCTCCTAACTCATCAACAGATTCTGCATCGCTACTATCTACATATGGAGTGCAGTTGCCATCATCCTCATCCTCTTTGTCTAGTTTGTGGCCCTAGATGCAAAATCCTCATATATCACATCATCTAAGCTTGTTGCCTCACCCCTCTTCATCTTCTTCTTGAAATCCTTAAATTTCCTATATATATGGGCTGCTTCTTCATCATCACTTGAACTATATGAGTCTCTAGGCATGTACTCACTATCAGTGTCAGATTTCTCATCTCCATTTGTCTCTCCTGGCATGTTATTTGCTTGTTCTTTCCTTTATTTGGACTACTGTAAAATTGTCTAACAAGGGCAACTTGCTTCTCTACTTTTCCTTTGCTTTCACTTTTCCAAATAGTCAAAGGTTGCAGATCTTCGTCTTCTATCTCATCATCCTCTAGATTATCTTCCATCTCTTCCTTATAGTCACTTGCTTCAGCTGTTGCATCCTGCTCGTGATTTTCAGCATAAACATCTACAACACCACCTTCAACAATGCAGTCAGACATGTACTGGCACACCCTGTCATCAACCAAAGCTCTTAGGCCTGTACTCATGTCTCTCCCTAGAAATAGCCAGTGCAACGTTGTGCCTTCTTTGACATTGCAATGGTGAAAGGTCCTAATATGGCTAGAGGGGGGTGAATAGCCTATTTAAAAATCTACAAATCAACTAGAGCAATTTGATTAGTATGACAAATAGCGTAAAGCAAACTTGCTCTAGCTCTACAAGGGTTGCAAGCCACCTATCCAACAATTCTAGTTGTAAAGATTACTTAGGCACACAAACTTGCTATGTAACTACTCACTAAGAGCTCTCAATCTTGCTACTCTAAAGAGCTCAACTAGATGAATGTAAATAATAAAGCAAGCTCTCAATTCTAATTACACTAAAGAGCTTGTATCAACTAGTTTGCAAGAATGTAAATAAGTGAGTAGTGTGATTATACCGCCGTGTAGGGGATGAACCAATCATAAGATGAATATATAGCCAATCACCGGGAGAATACCAAAGACAAGAGACAATCGATTTTCTCCCGAGGTTCACGTGCTTGCCAACACGCTACGTCCCCGTTGTGTCGACCAACACTTGGTGGTTCGGCGGCTAAGAGGTGTTTCACAAACCTCGTCCACACAATAGGACACCGCTAGAACCGACCCACAAGTGAGGTAACTCAATGACACGAGCAATTTACTAGAGTTACCTTTCGGCACTCCACCGGGGAAGGTACAACTCCCCTTACAATCACCGGAGATGGCCACGAACAATCACCAACTCGTGCCAATCCTCCATCGCTGCTCCAACCGTCTAGGTGGTGGCAACCACCAAGAGAAACAAGCGAAATCCGCAGCGCAACACGAATGCCAAGTGCCTCTAGATGCAATCACTCAAGCAATGCACTTGGATTCTCTCCCAATCTCACAAAATGATAATGGATCAATGATGGAGATGAGTGGGAGGGCTTTGGCTAAGCTCACAAGGTTGCTATGTCAATGAAAATGTGCAAGAGTTGCAGCTTCAACCGTCTATGAGACTTAAATAGAAGCCCCCACGGAATAGAGCCGTTATACCTTTTCACTGGGCAAAAACGCGCTCTGATCGGACGCTCCGGTCAGACTGACCGGACCCTGGACTCAGCATTCGGTCAACTGATTTTTGCCACGTGTCACTCTGAGTTAAAACTGAAACGTCAGATCTCAACGGCTAAGTGTTGACCGGACGCTCCGGCTAAACTGACCGGACGCTGGAGCCTCAGCGTTCGGTCGAGTACAGTTAGGGTCCAAATCCGTTTTTCTCGACCGGACGCGTCCGGTCCACCTCGACCGGACACATGCCAGCGTTCGGTGGTATACACTAGCTCCTGTACCGCTAAGTCAGCGCGACCGAACGCAGGCAGACAGCGTCCGGTGCATTCAGATCCAGTGTCCGGTCACTTGACCGACACTGGCATCTTCTCTGTCTTCTTCCCCCTTGCTCAAATGTGCTAACCACAAAGTGTATCACCTTGTGCACATGTGTTAGCATATTTTCTCAAACATTTTCAAGGGTGTTAGTGATCCACTAGATCCTAAATGCAAATGCAATGAGTTTAGAACATCTAGTGACACTTTGACAACCACATTTCGATACGAGTTTCACTCCTCTTAATAGTATGATTATCTATCCTAAATGTGATCACACTCTTTAAATATCTTGATCACTCAAACAAAATGGCTCATATCATTTATACCTTTGCCTTGAACCTTTTGTTTTTCTCTTTCTTCTTTTCCAAGTTCAAGCGTTTGATCATCACCATGCCATCACCATTGTCATGATCTTTGTTATTGCTTCATCACTTGGAATAATGCTACCTATCTCATAATCACCTTGATAAACTAGGTTAGCACTTAAGGTTTCATCAATTAATCAAAACCAAACTAGAGCTTTCAAATGGTCACGGAGATGACCAACAACTTCAGGCAGTGACAACTTATCTCGGTCTATATAAGACATAGCTTGAGTACCTCCAACATAAAATAGTCCATTGCTATTCCTCAAGAACTCCCCATTAAAATGAAACCGAACAGGGAGGAAGTCGTAAACATCCATTTAATCACCTGATGCCTACATGCAAACCATACACGCTACGAAGTTTAGTACTAATAAAATAGGTCCACTAAAGAACAATAGTGCTTAAAATATGACTACAAGTGCAACATAAAGGTGCCTACTGGCCTTAAAATATGACAGAACACTCTAAAGCATAAGCTATAATCAAGGTCAGATGTACCAATTACTAGTTAAATTACACAAACTCCAAGAGAATCAAGCATTCCGAAACAAAAACAACTAAAAACTACATGGATCCATGTGTGGCTTAGCACTTACCGTGGTCACCACGAGGAGTCGATTTGACCCAGTGTCAGATGAAATCCAAATCGACAGCGCTGCCCATGCGTGGAGTCCGGCGTCGCAGCCATACGCCGTCGCACAAGCCTCTGCTTCGACGTCCGATGCCTCCACAACTGGTGCGGCGATGTCCGCCGCCGTGCCGTGCGAGCTAGGGTTCCGAATTGGGGGGGGGGATTTTTTGGGTCACGGACAGCTGAATCTTGGGCATGGGGCACCTCTTTTGTATTTACCTTGCTGAATCAGCATGGGCCCAAATCCGATGTGGCGCTAGCTATGCAAAAACCAGAGCCCAAACCAGCTATGGGGGTTTGTGCATGGATTCGATAGATGAGGGAGGGCGTTTGTCTGGTTTTCGAGTTGAGGGGGGAGAATCAGACTTTTGCAAAAGATGAGGGAGGAAAAATGCACTTTTTCCATAGCGAATCCAGACTCCCAGAGCCGCGTGAGCTGATGCAAGCTCCATGGGCCGCCCCGGTATTGGGCCGAGCTTTGCTCAGGCCTACTACGCCCATCCCCGGCTTTGCATTAGTGACGAATACCGTTTTCGGGAGATTTTAGACACCGAATTCTGATCTCTGCCTGCATGCACGGTTCTCGCAAAATAACATCTCGATAAACAAAGTAGAGAAAAGTTTGTCCAATGTCAGGTCCTCCGCAAAACCATGTCTTGGTCTGTTCCGTCCTTTGGCCGGCGTTCATTTTTATTTTTCCGAAAACGCGCGCGCGCGTTGCAGGGCGATTCAGAAGGCCAACTGCTACCACGAGGAAGGCCACGACGCGCCGTGCTCCGTGGGAGGGGACGTCTACTACATGCTCCTCTTCGGCCTCGCGCAGGTGGTGCTGTCGCAGATACCCAACTTCCACGAGATGGCGGGGCTCTCCGTCTTCGCCGCCGTCATGTCCTTCACCTATGCCCTCGTCGGCGTCGGCCTCGGCGTCGCCAAAGTCATCGGTAATATATATATGCCGCCACGCCACGATCACCGCTCATATGCATGCCATGCCAGGCGCCAGCCATTTTTTGAGATTGATCGAGCCCCTGCGTGATTTGATTACCGTCACTTCAGCAAACGGGGTGATCATGGGCGGCATCGGAGGCGTCCCGCAGGTGTCCACGACGCAGAAGGTGTGGCGAGTGTCCCAGGCCCTCGGGGACGTCTTGTTCGCCTACCCTTTCTCCTTGGTGCTGCTGGAAATAGAGGTACTACATGCCGGCAGTGCGTCCGATATGCATCGAATGCAGTGCAGAGCTAGCACCACTGTTGCGATCTTGTACTAATTAATCGACTTTCATGAGATTTAATTATTTATTGCCTGTTGTGTTTTCAAGGACACGCTGAGGTCGCCGCCGCCGGAGACCGAGACGATGAAGAAGGCAACGAGAGCGAGCATCGCTATCACCTCCATCTTCTACCTCTGCTGCGGATGCTTTGGCTACGCGGCGTTCGGCGACGGCACCCCGGGCAACCTCCTCACCGGCTTTGGCTTCTACGAGCCCTACTGGCTCATCGACCTCGCCAACCTCTGCATCGTTCTCCACCTCCTCGGCGGCTACCAGGCAAGGCTTCAACTGTCAGAAACACCACACCACCGTGCACACTAGTCCTGCCTTCGACCTGACGCCGCCACGCACATGTCACCCTGCTTGCAGGTGTACACGCAGCCGGTGTTCGCGTTCTTGGACCGCAAGTTCGGCGGCGGGGCCACGGTCGTCGTGGAGGCGCCGCTGCTGGGCACGCGCCGCGTGGACGTGTTCAGGCTGTGCATCCGCACGGCGTATGTAGCGGCGACCACGGCGCTGGCCGTGTGGTTCCCCTACTTCAACCAGGTCATCGGGCTGCTCGGCGCCTTCACCTTCTGGCCGCTCGGCGTCTACTTCCCCGTGGAGATGTACCTCACGAGGAACAAGGTGGCGCCGTGGACCAACCAGTGGCTCGCCATCCATGCGTTCAGCCTCGTCTGCCTGCTCATCAGCGCCTTCGCCTCCGTCGGCTCTGCAGTGGGGGTGTTCGGGTCGGAGACGAGCTGACGACGATTCAACTCTGCAAATGCAATTGTCAGTCGGGCATTTTTCGGATTGGGATCGGACTGCATCCAGCCACATGTTGTGTACATACAGTGCGTTTGTATAATTAGCGTTTCGCTACGATCAGGGGTAGTAGACTTCAAATTCCATTCTCCAGCCTACGTACGAAGATCTTGGTGTATAAGGATTTTTCTTTTGGCGAATCATCTTGGTGTATAAGTTGGTGAATTGTAAGGCTTAAAAGAGAGCAAGATTGGCAAATTTATGGTCTTGTTACGTACTCATCCGTTCTGCGGCTCTGCCCCTTTGGAACTCAAACACTTCCTAGGAATTGTACAGGAAATTCACTGAAATCAGTTCATTTTCACAAGAAAAATATAGGAAACAGGAAATTTTCATCCATTCCAAACAAGACCTAAAATATTAAGTGTTCATGTTTTTCCACAATTCCGATAACTTGCGGAGTTTATAGAATGTATCATCATGCACAATATCAAATATATTCACTATCAAAGATAGTATTTTTTTGGTGTATTTAATTAAAATGTGATAGTTGTGGATTTTGGTATATATTTTTGAGTTAAATACACCTTTGGTCCATGAACTTGTTAAAGTGTGTCATCTAGGTCCATGAATTCTTAAAACATGTTTTAGATTGCAAGATCTTGCTCTTTTTTCCCTGATAAGACTGAAGCAACATGTTCCATACTGCATAATATTATTTTAGAGACCATAGAAGTATTATCGATGAATGGCAAGAACAAAATGCATGATATTATTTAGAGACCATAGAAGTATTATCGATGAATGGTAAGAACAAAATGCATAATATTATTTTAGAGACCATAGAAGTATTATCGATGAATGGTAAGAACAAAGTGTCAGCAAAATGACACTTAACCGGTGCAGGTCAGACTCAGCTAGGCAAAGCTCTAGGAAAACCAACAACCCGACAACCCAATACCTACTGCAGCGCCAACGTGGCATCAGCAGTTCACTAGCTATAATTGTCATCTCTTATAAGACACAGGTCCTTTCAATGGGACAATACAACAACAATAAAGAGACGAGTACTTACAAGGCATGACAACCAGTTACCAAAGGGGGAAAATGAAAGGCTGTGAGTATAACCGACAGTTACACCAGGATATTCTACAATGACATTTTTAACAGATTCAAGCCATCCAGCAAAAATGCCCAAGACCATCAAGTGGACAGCTTGAAAACATCGATGTATCTTCAGGATAGATTTTTAGACAGATCAGGGGAGTTATCATTAGTCTAGAGGATCGGAACCCATTCTAGCTCTAACTCCAACTCACCTGATTCTACGTTCTGCAGCTTTAAATGCACCTCCTGTTTTACCTTGCCTGCCACAACATTCACTGTGCTATCTTTCATCAGGGCGTTGTCTTTGGTCATGAACCACCTCCCAATTTGCATGTCACCAAGACGTGAAGTATCTCCAAAGGCCATGGCGGCTGTGATCATTGGTTGGAGATCTATCTCTGCTTCACCCATGATATCATCGGCTGAGAACATATCATGGTCATACACTTCCTGACATAGAGATTATGTGTATTACTTTCATGACGCTAACGGCCAGCAGTTTTTGTCTTCGCTACTTTCTCAATGCTCTGCCCTTTTCTTGAAGCATTATGTGTAATTATGTTTAAGTGCTTTTTTCGAGTTATTATATACTACCTATTACTCCCTCCGTCCCAAAATAACTGCACACTTGTTCTTCGACAAACTTTTTAAAGTTTGACTAAATCTATACAAAAATACACTAATATTTATGATGTATAATAAGTATGATTATATTAATTTCATAATAAACATATTAGGAGATACATATGTTGATAACATTTTCTATAAATTTAGTCAAACTTAAAAAAAGTTTGGCTTCCAGAAAAGTGAGATGTGCAGTTATTTTGGGACGTAGGGACTATCATGTGACTGAATTCAAGGAAACACCCTAAGAACTTTGCCATAATTCATGACACTTAGCATATTATACTCTTGCTTGAACTAGAGTCCTTTGAATATAAGGAAAATAATTTAAAGGTTCTAATGATAAAACTTACAAGTTTTAGAGGTCCATAATTTCGAGGAACAGATATCTTAAGCACTTCATTCCATACCGGATTCAAATCACTTTTTTTAACCGTCGATTGAGCTTTCTGCAGTTAGGACCAATTGTTGATTTTTTTAGAGGAAAACTAGAATGATAAATAAAATGATTTATGTATATAAACATTATAAAAAAATACCTGCCCTCCGAGTGTTAAAATAACATATGGATCACTTGTTAGCATGTCTCTAACGGCCAAGTTAGTACCTTTCACCACTGTAATATTCAGCTCTCCAACAAATTCTCTTGTATCTTCCTGTGATAAATTTGTAATGGTAAGGTAGATTGACTAGATCACTACAACCATACAAGTTTCAATGAAAACGCTCCATCACAGACATGCAATTGCTATGCAGAAATCATGGAAGCCAGGAAATAGAAGAGTGAGATGAATATTAAAAAAAAATGTAAGATCACAGAGCGGGAGCTCTCTGCACTGGATACGCCCTTTATATATTTCTCAGCACAACTTACAGAGACATCCTTCCTTGAAGTGCTAGAGAAATTGCTATCTACACTCTTCACAGAAGTGGTAGATTTGAAAGATGATCTTGACGAAATGCGCAAACTTGGCTTCAAAAAATCTTGTGTCTCATACTTAGCTCTGTATATAAAAAAGATAAGGGTTATTATATAGGAAAACATTGGTGACATTACAGAGTACGGAATGGAACAGTTAGCAGACCTTATAAATTTTGTCCTATATTCCATTGTTGAATCTGGTTTGGGTTTTGGGTGATCTTTTGGAAGAAAAGCCTCATAAATTGAATTTGCATATGAGTTTCCACCAACCTCAAGCATAGAGTCGATATCACTATCAGACCATTCATCCAAAGTTACAGACAAAACCTGATAGAGAACAGACGGAAGCATGAAATGAGTAAGGAGTCTAAGGATGAGCTATGACAGACTACAGATCATATGAATACTAAAAAACTGATCAGTTTGAAGGTGCATTCACATATATGTACATTACAATGAAAAGAAATGTAAACAGAAGTTTGTCACGGTCCAGATAACCTTTGAAATGTCAGGTCCAAGTGCCCTATGAACATCTCCACATTTTAAGCAAAGAAACACTCCAATATTAGCAGATCTGAAATGCACAAAAAAACAAATAACTTTTACAACTTATGTATAATGAGATGAAAAAAAAATCAAAATACAGTACTGAGCATATTCAGCATTTGGTTTTTGTAATCAATGGCATGGGTATATCAGCAAAGCTGTGTGTGTGCACGTGCGTGCTCCATTGCATTCTGTCTTCACATAAAAGAAACCAATGATCCAGTTTATCAACATAAAAAGGAAGAATATTTCTGTAGAGAAGCCATGCAAGTAGCTATCTTCTGAAATGGTAAACATAATAATAAAAGTTTAATCAGAAACAATGACTTCACTTACGCCCATTTGGGATCAGGTGCACCACAATCAGCACATATCCTATTGTCACTTTTTATCATAAGATCCTTCAATTTTCTTGCTTTGCCTATCAAACGATTAACAAGAATTTAGCAAAAAAAAACATGCATGTGAGTATGTGACAGAAAATAAAAGGAACCAAAGATTCACTTGCTACTATTTGTGGAGTTGAATAACATAATATTGAAAAATCAGGCGTAAAAAATGGTGAGAGGGTATATCCGCACAAACTCGGATCGCTGGGTTGATTTCAAAAGCGAAGGTTTTTTTCGAAAAATGACATGCTCTCTTATATCATATTGGCCAAAAATATAGATTTAAAAAAAGTAAAGTTCATGCCAGAAGTTTGTTTATTTATTGGATTATGACTAATATTGTATTGTCATGTACTCATGTCATCGTTAGCAATATTGTATTGTCATGTACTCATCATATTTAAAAATATAGTAAAGTTCATGCCAGAAGTTTGTTTATTTATTGGATTATGACTAATATTGTATTGTCATGTACTCATGTCATCGTTAGCATCAATGTATGCGCAGAACAAAAGCATGCCACATGGCATATAGCATATACTGTGTTAGCAAAGAATATCTTATATACCTACAACAGGCTTGGTTGACTTGATGTGTTGATAGCGATTAGCAGTACTCATCTTTGCGGTGCAACTTTGGATAACTCACAAAACCACACAAACTACTTCGACCTGCAGACAACATATGGATTAGCCAGAGTTAAGGATCATTTTCTTATCATGATGAAACAAACAGACATGCCAAATAAGATAACAAAATCTGAAGCTTTTTATTTCATAAGAACATAGCTCCATGATACACAGGAATCACTATACTGCTGCTGGTCCCTCACTACAAATGAGGTTTCACTAGCCCAGCGAATATCAGGTCAAATATAACTTAATAAAGTCTGGTTGTTGAAAAATGAAGCGTACAAACGAATTAATGTTGGGGCTGGAACATATTTGTGAATCCTGGATATCAAGCTCACAGGGTTGGTCTGTGAAATTTCTTTACATATTTATCACCTAGACAAAACTGAAACGAAGTCAAAGAACCCATCATCCTACTAATTATGTGTGGTTGGCTCCTCTCACATTGATAAGCTCTGCAATCACAAGATGTACACGACTACAAGGGCAGACAAGAGCCAATAGCCCCCCTTGCCTTTGCCACCGCAATACCCCAAAGACGGTGATCACCCAACCCCAAAGGAATATGCAAATGTCATGTGCTCTGAAGCCTGGCAGAAAGAAATCGGCCTAGATCAGGCAGATATATAGCATGAACAACTGGGGTGATTGGCTTGAGGGGGAGGGGAGGATCGTGCCTATGGAAATCCATTGGTATCTGTTTAATAGCTGACCAGTATCTCAATTTCATCCAAAGCACGAACCATCCTATATTCCATAGAATAAGAGCTGGGATGTTAA